TACGTTGCTTCTTGAACAACACATATGAATGATTAAAACAGATCCTTTTAATTTCTCCTGAACAACACGTAGCACTAATATTCTAATTATTGATGATTAAAACAGATCCTTCTGATTTATCTTTTAACACGTCTCCAATACGTTTCGTGACATGGAAAGACTATCATAGTCATTGGATAAAATACGGCGATACTTCAATTATTAAACAAATTAAAGCATTTAATCGTATAAATGTTTTTGAAGCTCCAAAAGATCGAGGTATTTCAGTAGGAATTGAATAACTGTAAATGTTCTGAAAGTCTCATATCACACTACATTTTCTACTCCTCTTGAAGCTTCCCTTCACGTTGATTTTATTCAAACGCCAGTTCCTCATTAATATACATGGACTATCGTTGTGAAGTGGCATACATTGTTAATTTTATTTCCTGAGTCTGGCGTGACCTAGCGGTTTAACGTATCGGGCTGCAGATCAAAGGACGCGATGCCAATAAACTCTCTCTCCGCGCTTTCAGCTGTTGGCACGTTATAAAAGTGGCAGTCAATTCCATTATTCGATTTATAGTCCCGTATGACTCTCTCTTGTGGCGGCAGATGCTGATTTCTATCTGCTTTCCCTCTCTGGTCAATTGTAATTCAAAGATTGTGGATGGATATACCTACATCCTAGAGGTCTTTGATCTGATCGTTTAGCCCGCATGTGCATATAATGCTGTTTAGGTTGAAAATTCCCATTCCGTTCTATTTCCCAGAATTTATCACCAACACTAAACTCATCTTCCTAGCATAGCAATCAACCATTTATCCCGGTTTAAAAATACCTGGCTTTACAGCATATAGAGACGTAACGAATATAAGAACGTAAATAGAAAATATGTTTTACTGTGGTCGATTAATAGAAATAAAGATCATACCACACGCATAAAGTGAAGAAAATACGAATGCGGAGGTTTTAACTTAAGTTCTAATTAGCATACTGTGTTTTACACGTTCATTTAATAGTTACGTGCACTACATGGCTATGATTGCTACGTTTCTTCACTATGTGCGACAAGCAGAGAAACAGGACGGCCTTACAAAGTAAACTGAGATTAAAACAGTGTATGTTAAGAAAACTGAGATCAATTTTATTGGCATAAAACTCACTCCCATCTACGAAAGCGTGCTTTTGCGAAAAGGTAAAACTTAAAAGTTAAAATGATTAACTGATAAAAAGTGTGCATAAATGATTAACTGATTAAAAAGTGTGTATAAATGAGTAACTGATAAAAAGTGTGTATAAATGATTTACTGATAAAAAAGTGTGTATAAATGATTAACTGATAAAAAGTGTGTATAAATGATTTACTGATAAACAAGTGTGTATAAATGATTAACTGATAAAAAAGTGTGTATAAATGATTAACTGATAAAAAGTGTGTATAAATGATTTACTGATAAACAAGTGTGTAAAATGATTAACTGATAAAAAGTGTGTATAAATGATTTACTGATAAACAAGTGTGTATAAATGATTAACTGATAAACAAGTGTGTATAAATGATTTACTGATAAACAAGTGTGTATAAATGATTTACTGATAAACAAGTGTGTAAAATGATTAACTGATAAAAAGTGTGTATAAATGAGTAACTGAT